CCTAAAGAATTAATAAATAATAAAGTCGGATTCAAGCGAAAAATAACTATCTATTTTTAATACTAAAATTAGACAACAGTAAATAAATGACAACGGCCGAATTACTCGCTAACAAATTATGGATAAATTCAGTTAAAATTAAATATTAATTTTAAATCATATTTTTCATTATTAATACTCATTTATCATCTAGTGCCAATTATTTTAAATGATTTTTTTTACAGATTGTAGCGATAGCAGTTAGTTACTTGCTCGTACTTTATAAACCCCAGGGGAATGGATGATTCTGCGGATAAATGATCTATCAACGTGCCGTCATAAAGAAGGTCGATTAATAAGACGATTGATTCTTTGAAGACCACATTATGAATCGTTCAATCCCATCGATAATTGCAAGTCGGGATCAATGTTCAACGAATTGAATGTTGACCTTATGTAGTGTCAAGTTTGAATAGGATTGACTACATATAGATGACCAAATTTTTTTTCCCTGATAAGTTTTCTTAGCATTGTAAAATGAGCTGTATGAGTCGATTTCAAGATAACTCGCATGGCAATATCAAGTATTAAACATAAGCCATCTAACATATACTCAGTCTATTGAGTAAGGTCGCTAAATAGTACTCTTGATTTTACGTTGGCTTATTGAACCGTGTTAAGAAAAAATTTCTTACAACTCTGAGTATGGTAGAAAAAAAAAGTTCATCACACTCTCTTTTTTTTGTTGTTAACAAATTCGATCAAGCAATATACTGTACTTCATATATGCCAACAAATTCTTTTGTTGTTTGTTAATTTATAACACCACTCGACCGTGAGTGAGTAGTAGCTATAAACCTATTTTATATGTACAAACATATTTTTACATACTTAATGAAGAAAGAAACCCCTAACTTGACAAGTGTTATATAAATCTTTCTTGTCTTTCAATTTATTACACTATTAGAATGTTTTTTTTTTTCGCGACATCGAGTAGGAGCTACAAATTTATTTTAATAGACTCTGTCAGCAAGGCATTTTGTAATCTACACTTATTATATAAATATATTTTATTGACTTTTAGTTTATTGCACTACTCGACCGTGATTGAGAATGACCAAATATATTGTATCTATATTTTTCTTGCAACATTCAATGTGACCTACAAATATATCTAATAGGCACGAGCAAGCAAGACATTTTGTACTCAATAAACGCCATAAATATCTTTTTCTCCCCTTTAAATTTATCAGACTACTCAATCGTGATAGACCAGAACCTACAAACATATGTTACCTATTCTCTCCCATGATATCGAGTAGGAAATGGAGCAAA